CATCGGTACCAATAACATAGATAGAAAAAGGACTGAGAATGTGAAAAATGAGTACAGGGAGTTAGGTTGGAAGCTGAAGTCCAGGACAAACAGGGTAGTTATCTCTGGATTACTACCAGTGCCACGTGATAACGAGGTAAGAAACAGGGAGAGAGTGCAGCTAAACACGTGGCTACAGGGCTGGTGTAGGAGGGAGGGCTTCCATTATGTGGATAATTGGAGCACATTCTGGGGAACGTGGGACCTGTACAGTAAGGAAGGGCTGTACTGAACCGGAAGGGCACAAATATCCTGAGAAGGAGGTTTGCTAGAGCTGTACGGGATGGTTTAAACTAGTTTGGCAGGGGGTGGGGAATTTATAATTCAGAGGATGAGGTATTCAGCCTTCCAACAGACACAACAGGGAGTGAGGTTGTTAATAAAGAAATGCGGTCGATGTAGCGTAATTGCGGACACTGAGATGGTTTGAGGTGTGTATACTTCAATGCTAGAAGTATCGGAAATAAAGCGGATGAACTTGGAGCATGAGTTGGTACTTGGAACTACGATGTTATGGCCATTACAGAAACTTAGGTAACTCGGGGACAGGAATGGTTGTTGGAAGTTCCAGGATTTAGATGCTTTAAAAGAAATAGGGAGGGTGGAAAAAGAGACGGGGAGTGGCATTGCTAGTCAAGGCGAGTATAGCAGCTACTGAAAGGCAGTTCGAGAATGATATGTCTACAGAGGCAGTTTGGGTTGAGGTCAGGAACAAGAAAGGAGCAGTCACTTTGTTGGGGGTTTTTTTACAGACCCCCTAATAGTTGCAGAGAAGTAGAGGAGCGGATTGGGAGGCAGATACTGGAAAGGTGCAGAAGTCACAAGGTTGTAGTCATGGGTGACTTCAACTTTCCAAATATTGATTGGAAACATTTTAGTTGTAATAGTTTAGATGGAGCGGATTTTGTCCAGTGCGTTCAGGAAGGATTCCTGACACAGTATGTAGATAGACCAACACGAGGAGAGGCCACTTTGGATTTGGTGCTTGGCAACGAACGGGGCCAAGTGTTAGACTTGCTGGTAGGAGAGCATTTTGGCGGTAGCGATCATAACTCTGTTCCTTTCACGATAGTCATGGATAAGGATAGGTACATATGGCAGGGTAAAGTTTACAATTGGGGGAAGGGTAATTACAATTCAGTTAGGCAAGAACTGGGTAACATAAATTGGAAACAGATGCTGTCAGGGAAGAGCACCACAGAAATGTGGAGATTGTTTAAGGAATGCATACTGCATGTGCTCGATATGTTTGTCCCTAGCAGGCAGAGAAGATGCGGTCGAGTGAGGGAGCCATGGTTCTCGAGAGAGGTCGAACGACTGGTTAAGAGGAAGAAGGAGGCTTATGTAAGGTTTAGAAAAAGAGGAACGGAAAAGGCTCTAGAGGGATACAAGATAGCCAGGAAGGAGCTGAAGAAAGGACTTAGGAGAGCTATAAGGGGGCATGAGAAAACCTTGGCGGATCGGATCAAGGAAAACCCCAAGGCTTTTTACACGTATGTGCAGAACAAGAGAATGACCAGAAAAAGGGTAGGGCCGATCAAGGATTGTAAAGGGAATTTGTGCACAGAGCCTAAAAAGATAGGAGAGGTCCTTAATGAACACTTTTCTTCAGTATTCACAACTGAGAGGGACCTAGTTGTAGAGGAGGACATTGTGAAACAGGCAGGAAGGCTAGAGGAGGTTGATGTTAGTAAAGAAGATGTGCTAGGAATTCGGAGGAAGTTGAAGATAGATAAGTCCCCCGGGCCTGATGGGATTTATCCAAGGATTCTATGGGAAGCAAGGGACAAGATCGCAGGGCCTTTGGCGATGATCTTTTCGTCCTCACTGTCCATGAGTATAGTGCCGGAACATTGGAAAGAGGCAAACGTCATTCCCTTGTTCAAAAAAGGCAATAGGGATAACCCCGGAAATTACAAGCCAGTTAGTCTTACATCAGTGGTGGGCAAATTATTGGGGAAAGGGCTCTGAGAGACAGGATTTATGATTACTTGGAAAGAGACAGTTTGATTTCTGATAGTCAGCATGGATTTGTGAGGGGTAGATCATGCCTCACAAACCTTAGTGAATTCTTTGAAGAGGTGGCCAAACACGTGGATGAAGGTGGAGCAGTGGATGTGGTCTACATGGATTTAAGTAAGGCGTTTGATAAGGTTCCCCATGGTAGGCTCGTGCAGAAGGTAAGGAGGCATGGGATGGGAGGAAATGTGGCAGATTGGATTCAGAATTGGCTGACCCTTAGAAGACAATGGGTGGTAGTGGATGGAAAATATTCAACATGGTGCTCATTTACGAGTGGTGTACCACAAGGATCTGTTCTGGGTCCTCTTCTATTTGTGATTTTTGTAAATGATCTGGATGAAGGAGTGGAAGGGTGGATTAGCAAGTTCGCGGACGATACGAAGGTGGGTCACGTTGTGGACAGTGCGGAGGGCTGTTCTAGGTTACTAAGGGACATTGATAGAATGCAGAGGTGGGCTGAAAAGTGACAAATGGAGTTTAACCCTGAAAAGTGTGAGGTGATTCATTTTGGAAGGACAAACTTGAAAGCAGATTACAGGGTTAACGCAAAGATTCTTGGCAATGTGGAGGAGCAGAGGGATCTTGGGGTTCATGTTCACAGTTCCCTGAGAGCTGCTACCCAGGTGGATAGAGTTGTTAAGAAGGTGTATGGTGTGTTCGCTTTCATTAATAGAGGGATTGAGTTTTGGAGTATTGTGTCCAGTTCTGGTCACCTCGTTACAGGAAAGATTTGGAAAGGTTAGAAAAGGTGCAGAGGAGATTTACCAGGATGTTGCCTGGAATGGAGGGAAGGTCTTACGAGGAAAGGTTGAGAGAGCTAGGGCTTTTCTCTTTAGAACGACAAAGGATGAGAGGTGACTTGATAGAGGTGGACAAAATGATCAGAGGTATAGATAGAGTAGACAGCCAGAGACTTTTTCCTAGGGTCAAGGTAGCTTTTACAAGGGGACATAGTTTTAAAGTGAAAGGAGGTAGATATAGGGGAGACGTCAGAGGTAGGCTCTTTACTCAGAGTGGTAGGGACGTGGAATGCATTGCCGGAGAGGGTAGTGGAGTCGGCCTCATTCGGGGCATTTGGGCGGCTATTAGATAGGCATATGGATGATAGTATAAGGTAGCGGTGGAGGTTAGAAAGACCTTTGGTTTAGGGTAAAAGTTCGGCACAACATCGTGGGCCGAAGGGCCTGTACTGTGCTGTACTGTTCTATGTTCTATGTTCTGTTGGTCCCCAACCTTTTCAGTATGGAGGCACAGAGGCCACATAACTGAGCAGATTTCCCTTTTCCTGCATAAGCACAGTGACAGAAGTCAACAGGTTCTGTCTTTAGTAGTAAATACCAAGGCTCTGGAGGAGAGCAGAAGCACTCTCGTTATAAATTCTAAAGTTTGCAGCTTTAAGTAATGTAGTGATTGGAATGAGGTCAGCCAGGTGGACCTCAAAATGAGTTCCCTGAGCTCTGGAATGCTCCTTTTGGATCTCCTTGACTGAGCTTATGGTCAGCTGTTTGAATGGTTGAATACTGTTCTTACTACAGTGGTCTTGTACAGCTCTTTGGGCTTTTTTATATTAAAGGCACAACATAAATATGTTTTTGTCAACCAATTTAGTTGATGGATGTAAATCGGGAAGAAGCCTAGATATATAATCGATTTGGTGCTTCTGATAGTGGGTAATTGCAAATAGCCCGGCATATCTTTCAAAGGTAGCGCGGTGGCTCAGTTGTTAGCACTGCTGCCTCATAGCACCAGGGGCCCAGGTTTGATTCCACCCTGCTTCCACACTGTAGGGCTTTTATAAACTTCTGACAAATAGGCTGCACATTGGGGAAAACTGAAAAATGCTTATGTTTGATGTGTACAGTTATCTTTGAAAGATCGTGGTAATGGTTATTAAATGTTTGATCAGCTTCTAAGGTAACAATGGTTTTTGTTACTTTGAAATAGTTTGAAAACTTAAGCACAATGCTTTTCAGAGAGCATTTTAAGTCATTGATTGCAGAAATACAGAAATGGAGTCACAAATATTTCCAATGAAATAAGCTATTTGAAGGGTGATTATGCTTCATATGAGCTTCCTCCCGCTGACATTTTTATTATTGGTTGGCACGCTAGAGTTAGATTTTTTTACACTGGATAGCCCATACCTCGTGGCAACCTCGAGCTCAAAATGCATAGATGAGAGCTGTAACTACATGGGAAAACATTTACCATCCCTTCATTAACAAATCAGTGAAAATCTATGCCTTTCAGACATTTTAAAAAAACCATATTTGTTAACTACTTAATCACTTCAGCTGTTATTTTTTTCTCATTTATGTTAAGCTAAATCCTCTTACTTTAAACCAATCTGTACCTGTAGGGAACTGAGAAACCTGATCTGGACAGTTTCTGCATATAACAATGTTGCCCTTTTCATAATTAAGCCACAGGGTGGTTCCCGATTTATGAACATCCACCTTGTGAATACTCGTACTTAAGAACATGATGCCATACAGACGTGTAATTTTAAATATTCACATTGCAAATGTTTCATGTACTTGCACGCAGCTACTTCATATTGTCCTGCATTGTGTTCTGACCTGCATACAAATCAGTTTGCAAATGGACTCCAGAATGAAAGCCATTTGCAACTCAGGGCCTATCCAAATAGTCATTATTCTTAGATTCCTTCTCAAATATGTATTCGCAGACAAAATAACACATTTAGTTAATTATCAGTTATCAACTGTACACCCCCCCAGTCAATTGTTTTGGATATCCACTACACACAGATGTAGATGGGAACCTGCTTACTTAGGTTATTGTTCCATTATGTGTTATTGCAGAGGTGAGTTCTTTGAGAGCGTCTCTAATTTTTTTTTGTTATTGTGGTACACGTTATCTACAATTCAGTAGATACTGTTTAAGCTGGTAATTGTATTGTTACAATTTTTCCATAGGCCAAAAATCGAGAATTGCTGAAACAAGTTGCAGCATTGTCCAAGGGTAAAAAGATAGAGAAGACTGGAAATGTTATGTTGTCTCCTTGAAGGGCTTCTTGAAAAGTGTATCATGAAAATAAAAGCAAATACTGCCGTGGTAGTAGAGGTTACTGTGAAGTCTTTTCGTATAGAAAATGCACCCCGATTGTTTTCCAAGTGGTTAGATTTAATTTTTTTAAACTAGCAATAAGAAACTGTGCTTTTCACAGAAGATAAATGATATGTCATAAGATGTTGAATCACTTTTTTTATTACCATCTTGAATTTGAATGTTTAAAAAGGGAAGGTGAATGAAAATGAATAAATGAAGCTTTCATCTGTTGTAACCTTCTGCAAATTGCTCAATTGCCTTGCAATAAAAATCTAAACATCCCGTTTTCTGACATGGCAAGTGTTAGTTTTACTGTAATACATTCGTACAGAAAATCTGAGGTCTGGTAAATTATTCCTACTGATTTAAGTGTTCCTCTAATCCTGTAAGAAATTCTAATGGTAACCTGGGCAAGGATTTGTTTGTAACTGAGTTCAGAAGTAAAATATAAATTACATTTCCTATTTTGAGCGGTGTGAATGCCTTTCTTTAATTTGTCTATGGAAGAATATAATAGTATATATGCTTTATGCAAATCACAGCCAATAGAATGTATAAAAAAATGTATACTGAAGACTCCAATTTGCCTTTGGAATCAATTTTTCAGATGCTGTAGAATTCCAAACAGTTGATGTTCCTGATACATTTAACTGACATTAGAAATGTTTGAGTGGGAAAACTTGCTTTTCAGCAATATTTCATCTTGTTTTCACCTTAATTCATGTGTGTTTCTACATATGTGCAAAAATTGTTACATTGATTGAAGGATAGTGTAGAATATGCATATTCTATAACGAGATAAGTGAGATATTCCCATAGGGAGCATACAGGTGGTTTCACTTACCTTTCATTGAAGAGCAACTCCACTTACTGCACATCACAATTGTTTCAACCTCCATCCAAAAAAGCATGCTGTCTTTTACTTTTGTTTATGTGCATCACAATGCAAATTGAGTTAATCCTGACTAAATGTTCTGTTATTAAATTTTATGTTCTTTTACATTTTTAATATGCACATATAGTTTTCACTTACTGGTTGAAATCCTTGACATTGATGTATGTGGTAGAGTTGGAGTTGTGCCTTAGATAAGTTAGCATGAACTTGTTCTACATCCTTTAAAAGAAATATGCTAAGTTTACAGTGATAGAGACAAATGATTGCTGTGTAAAACAAAAGAAAAAATGGAAATTCAAATTGCATAATTTTTTCCTGTGCAATCACAATCATTGTTAACGTGATCCTATATTAATAAGGCTATAACACATTAACATGTTCTCAAATCTATATCATATATTTATATGGCAAGCTGTCCTCTAAACTATTCTTAATTTAGCTATTTATATAAAGCAAAAATGCAAATTGTATATAAAAATAAATTTGTCTGGTTATTAAATACTTAGCCGTTTAATAAGGTTAGATTTTCATGTAAAGGTGCTATTAAATAACAAGGAATGGTCAAGGTATTTAATTATTGAACTTTTGGCATGATTTGATTTCATTTCTTTAGGAAAACCTATTCAACTTTTCTAAATATTTCATACATTTTTGTTTAATGATCCCCAAGTAAAAATTTGGCATTGTCCCAGATTGTTTTTTGAGAGATGTATGGTAACAATGTTGGAGGAGAAAGAAAGCAATTGGTCAGATGCGTAATATTTGTGCATTTAACAGCTTGATAATTAACAGGCTTGTATAAAGAATCTTTTATTTCTAGTTATAGAAAAGTTATTTTTATGTACAGCGTTTTGTGTGCATTCCAATCAATTTGTCATTTTAAAAAATTCTACCTGAGCCTTGCATTCTGACGATTCTAACCTAGGGCCTTCTTTTGTTTCCAATATTCTCAACCAGCATGAAGTTGAGTAGGTCATTTAAAGCTATGCATTTAAATCCTATAAAAATGTCAAGTATAATTTTTTTGGTGACTGTACAATCTCAGGCTAATGCATTTAATACTTGATAATGTCACCATGCAATTGTATGAACAGGCTTCAAAACCTCTAGCAGATAACTCTTCATAAGGGGCATTATAAAATTATTACAGAAGAATAATTGTAACTTCTTTGTTTCAACTTTCTTGATTGTTAGCATGTTATTCCAGATACAAACATGGTTAACCCTTGTGTCTATGAATTACCTCCTCTAGAGCCGATCTACACTTGATTTTAAAAACATAATTTTCCAACCAGTTAATGAGAACAATTTGTATTTTGTGTGAAAACAGGAACATATTACAAAAGTTGTTATTACCAAATTGGCAGAATATATAACCATGTGTAAATTGTCATTGACCTCTACCAGTAACAGTGCCTTGTCATTCTGGAATTTGGCATATGTTCTGTAGTTATAATAATACATTACTATTTGTATATAATGTTCTACTAATGCAGCAGTTTGCTTATTTATAAGTGCTGTAATTTTCTTTTCATATTGGTTCAATGTTTTGAAACTACATTTTAATCATGTTATTCCATGTTATTTCACAAACTAATTCTAGTTGATTTTTTTTGGGGGGGAAATGGTATCCTTTTTGTTACAGTAAGTCTTGTTTGGATATGTATACAACGTAATTTGTAAATTGGGGTGCATAAAATTCAGACTTCACAGTATTTAAAGTTGGATGGTGAATTTTAATCATGTTTTGAATTTTAAGATTCTAATATTGTTCATATTGTTTTTACCTTCATTTGTTACTTGAAAATTATAAGTTGTAAAATAGTCTGGGATGTATCCTTGCAACAATAGGCATAGACTTATGCTTTTTATTATGTTTTGCAAAGAAGTCTCCTGTACAAGTGGTGAAACTGCGAGGTAAAATTGTTATGTACTTCATTTTTATGTAACCATAAGTATAAACTCATTAAATTGTTATTTCTAACGGAATAGGATTTAAGTCAAAACTGCTAGTTGTATTTTAAAATCTTTCAACTCCTCTTGTATTTCCTCATTGAGGAACTGTATACATGCTTGGAATGCGTTCATTAGAGTTTGTAACTATACACAGGAGCAATCTGAATTCTATAAACCAGATATTGGTCAACTGAAATTTTATACTTGTTTTCTAAATCTTGACAGTTTGAAATAAATCTTGTTAAAATACCTTGCATTTAATGTCAAATGCTGTTTTTGGCGCTTTTTCCCACTATTTCAGGTGCCAAGTACTGCAGTAGTCTGTCACTGTTTAACAAATCTGGTAATTGTGATTAAATTGATAAATTGTCCATGTGGGCTCTGAAACTTGTTTGTAAGTAACTGTCGCAGATACATGATGGATTAATGAGTTATCCAGTGAAAAGCTAATAGAATCAAAATATCCCATGTCTTATCCCTAGTCTGTGCTGCATCAACTGATCTCAGTACAGACACTATTAGTGGCAGCGATTGCTGAATTACAGAATAAAATTTACATCAATGTTACTTGTATTCTGTGAAACCCCATGCTTCAAGTGCAGATCTAGAATGTTGTTGTTGTGACTCACTGAAAGAGTGCACTTGAAAGAGTTTTTTACTATTCGTTGGAGCCTTTACAAGTGTGAAAATTTGATCAGACCACGAAACTGTCCCAATTGTACTTAGTTGTATAGTTCAGGTTATCAGGTTTTCCCAGTAACAAGAAAATCTCTGTACTGTAGCCAAACTGTATTTAGCCCATTGGAAAATGTAGTCAAGTTGAATTGCTAATTCAACTTGAGTATGCTAACTGCATAACTAAAACTTTTCCAAATTTCCAATGCACATACAAAAATAAAGAACAAAAATATTACAGTACAGGAACAGGCCCTTTGGCCCTCCAACCCTGCACCAACATGCTGCCCTCACAACTAAAACCCCCTACCCTTCTGGGGACCGTATCCTTCTATTCCCATCCTATTCATGTACTTGTCAAGACGCCCTTTAAAAGTCACTATCATATCTGCTTCCACTACCTCCCCCAGCAGCAAGCTCCAGGCACCCACCACCTTCTGTTTTTTAAAAAAAAAAAAGCTTGCCTCGTAAATCACCTTTAAACTTTGCTCCTCGCACCTTTAAACCCATAGCCCCTGGTAACTGACTCTTCCACCCTGGGGAAAAGCTTCTGACTGTCCACTCTGTCCATGCCCTTCATAATCTTGTAGACCTCTATCAGGTCACCCCTCAACCTCCGTCGTTCCAGTAAGAACAACCCAAGTTTCTCCAACCTCTCCTCATAGCTAGTGCCCTCCAAATAGGCAACATCCTGGTCAATCTTTTCTGTAACCTCTTCAAAGCCACCACATCCTTCTGGTAGTGTAGTAACCACAATTGAGCACAATATTCCAAATGCGGCCTAACTAAGGTTCTATAAAGCTGTGACATTACCTGCCAATTTTTAAACTCAGTGCCCCAGCCAATGAAGGCAAGCATGCCGTATGCATTGTTGGCTACCTTTTCCACCTGCGTTGCCACTTTCAGAGACCTGTGTACCTGTACACCCAGATCCCTCTGCCTATCAGTACTGTTAAGGGTTCTGTCATTTACTGTATATTTTCCATTTGGATTAGACCTTCCAAAATTCATTACCTCACTTTTTTCTGGATTAAACTCCATCTGCCCAAGTCACCAACTGATCTATATCTAGCTGTATCCTTTGATGGTCCTCATCTGCAATTCCACGAACCTTTTGTATCATCGGCAAACTTACTAATCAGACCAGTTACATTTTCCTCCAAATCATTTATATATAAATTACAAATAGCAAAGATCCCAACACTGATCCCTGAGGAACGCCACTAGTCACAGCACTCCATTCGAAAACGCACCCTTCCACTGCTACCCTCTGTCTTCTATGACCGAGCCAGTTTTTTATCCATCTTGCAAGCTCACCTCTGGCCCCATTCAACTTTACCTTCTGTATCAGTCTGTCATGAGGGACCTTGTCAAAGGCCTTACTGAAGTCCATGTAGACAACATCCACTGCCCTACCCTGATCGATCATCTTCGTCACTTCCTCAAAAAACTCAACCAAGTTAGTGAGACACGACCTTCCCTTCACAAAACCATGTTGCCTTTTGCTAATATGCCCACTGATTTCCAGGTGGGAGTAAATCCTATCTCAAAGAATCCTCTCCAATAATTTCCCTACCACTGACGTAAGGCTTACCGGCCTGTATTTAGCTGGATTATCCTTGCTATCCTTCTTAAACAAAGGAACAACATTGGCAATTCTGCAATCCTCTGGGACCTCCCCTATAGCCAGAGAGGATACAAAGATTTCCCTCAAGGCCCCAGCAATTTCTTCCCTTGCCTCGCTCAGTATTCTGGGGTATATCCCATCAGGCCCTGGTGACTTGTCTACCTTAATGTTCTTCAAGACCCCCAATATCTCCTCCCTTTTGATTGCAACATGACCCAAACTATCTACATACCCTTCCCCAGACTCATCATCCACCATGTCCTTCTCTGTGGCGAATACTGACGCAAAGTACTCTATTAATACCTCGCCCATTTCCTCTGGCTCCACACATAAATTCCCTTCCCTGTCCTTGAGTTGACCAACTCTCTCGCTGGCTACCCTCTTGCTCTTTATATATGTATAAAAAGCCTTGGGGTTTTCCTTAATCCTGTTGGCCAATGACTTTTCATGACCCCCTTTTAGCCCTCCTGACTCCTTGCTTAAGTTTCTTTTGACTTTCCTTGTATTCCACCCTTGCTTTGTGTGTTCCCAGCCTCCAGCTGTGATAAATCCTTCCTTTTTCTATTTAGGCTCACAATACCTCTTGTTATCCAAGGTTCCCTAAACTTGCCATACTTATCCTTCATCCTTACAGGAATGTGCCAGTCGTGAGTTCCCAGCAACTTACACTTGAAAGCCTCCCACATACCATATGTTGATTTACCCTCAAACATCTGCCTCCAATCTACGTTCTTCAGTTCCTGCACAATATTGTTGTAATTAGCCTTCCCCCAATTTAGCACCTTCACCTGACATCTACACCTATCTTTATCCATTAGTACCTTTAAAGTTGACTGAATTGTGATCACTGTTCCCGAGCTGCGCACCTACCGCAACATTCCCACCTGGCCAGGCTCATTCCCCAATACTAGGTCCAGTACGGCCCCTTTCCTAGTTGGACTATCTACGTGCTGTTTCAAGAAGCCCTCCTGGATGCTCCTTATGAACTCTGCCCCATTGAGCCCCAAGCACTAAGTGAGTCCCAGTCAATAATATTGGATGTTAAAATCACCCACAACAACAGCCCTGTTACTTTTACATCTTGCCATCATGCAGATGGACACACAAAGTTAGACAAGACATGCATATGATGGGTGGAGAGAACAGTTTGCAGGAAAGCTGGGGAACAGTAGCAAGCATTTAGAATTTTCTTTTTCCCTCTCCTTTCTGTGTGGAGAAGTAAGAGATGAATGCTCTCTCTTGCATTTCAAAAACCCACATGCCTGTTCAGAGTTTTCTGTGTTGGTCACTCAGTCGGTGCAGCATCTTCATCAAGCTGGTGCGAGTGCTGAGGCTAAAGCTAACTGAATGATTGAGGTGTGGTCCTCATTTGTCTGCATTGAATCAGTTTTTTTCCTTATGTTCCTCATATTTGGCATTGTCAGAAAGACTGGAGTATCCAGTTGTTGGTGAAATGCTAGTTGTTGTGGCTGCACACATACGAAGGGGATAAAGGAGGACCAGGAACAACAGCAAGTAGCAGCAGGCCACTTACAGAAGCTTTTTAATATCAGTGCTTATGTTTTTTTTTGCTAGTTTCCTTTCATAGTTCACCTAAGCTCTTTTTGAGTTTATTTTTAGTAACCCTTTGGCATTTGAAGTTCTCCCAATCGTCCAGAGTGCCTCTACCTTTTGCAGTATGACATGCCCTAGTTTTCACCTTTTATTATCCTTGACCTCCTTAAAGGACCATGGATGATTTTTCACAATCCCTGTCCCTCTCAGGAGTATACTTTGAGAGATATTTAGTATCTCCCTAAGCATTTGCCACTGATCTTCGACTGGCCTGCCCCTTAAAAGTTTTGCCCAGTTTACTGGGGCCGACTCCTTCCTTGGGCCTGTATAATTACCTCTGCCCAACATTAATACACTTGTATGCGACTCTGGCTTCGCTCTTTAAATCTGAATTTGAAACTCTAGCAAGTTGTGGTCGCTCCTTCCAAGAGGATTGTTAACTACAAGACCATTTATCAATCCTTCCTAATACCAAATCTAAAGGAGCAAGTTCTCTGTTTGGCTCCATGACATCTTGCTCTAAGAAGCAATCCCTCATACACTCTATGAATGTTTCTTCTGGGCTACTATTGTCAAATTGATTAATTTAGGCAATATGCATGTTCAAATCACCCATAAATACCATTGTTCCCTTCTCATAAGACCTCCTTTCCTGATTTATACCGTCCCCGACTTTGGAAATACTGTACTGGGGCATGTAAATTACTCCCAGCCTTGATAACATGCTTGTAAATCTTTTTACCACCCTTTCCAGTTTCATAACATCCTTCCTTTAGTAGGATATCCTCAGCAGTGGCAACATTTGTAGATATTCTTGAATGCCTATTTCTCCAATTTGTTTTGTTACTGGGTATTATTTTTCTAGAGGCTGAGAGAAACATAGAGCAAGAGCAAGACTTTGAGTGCTATTGTTAAATTTCTTTTTCTGCTCTGCTACCTGAAATACATTTTTTTTTGTATGTTGACTGATTTAATTGTTTTTTTGCAAGCTGAATAATCTGAAGACAACTTCCAATCCAATTTGTGAAACTTGTGGAAAAATGTACGTCAACAGGTGATGTAGATCTGAATGAATGATTGATTGATTGATTTTCATCATTTTGATGACATTAATTCTCAGTTCAGACTGGGTCTTGCAACCATCAATAAACATGAGCTTGGCTGAACCTGGTCAGATGACCACTATGCTCCCTTTTTAAAATTACCCCTTTTAACATTTTAGGTATGAACATTTAGGTGTAATTTCCTGGTCCATTTTCTGACTCAGTTCATCAGATATGATTATTTAACATAGTTGCTGTTATCTTCTTTCCACAGTCAGTATGCTTTTAAGAGGTGTGCACATGATATCATTGTTGCAGCATGGCGTGTGACCAGAAGTTTAAAAAACTTCTATAT